GACATACTCAAATATGTGAAATCATGTAAAGTATGTGGTGCTCAGAAAATGCCTAACACTGGTCGAATGGGACAAATGGGAAAAGAAAAAGTAGTGAATTGGCCATTTCAAGTTATCGGTTTAGATTTAATAGGACCTCTACCTCCTTCAAGAAAACAAAATAAATGGATTTTAGTAATTTCTGACTGGTTTTCGAAATACAATTTGATATTTCCGTTAAAAAGTGCAAAGGCACATTTTGTAGAAAGAATTTTAGAAAACGAAGTATTTTTAACTTATGGAGTACCACAGTATATCATATGTGATAACGGTGTACAATTCACCAGTAGAAATTTTAAGAAGTTATGTGAAAAATATGAAGTTCAGAAAATTTGGTATAACGCAGTGTATTCGCCACAGTGTAATTTTGTTGAGAGAAATAATCGCACCATTGAAACGGCTATACGCAGCTATATTGACGAGCACCGTGATTGGGATCTGGAAATTTACAAAATTCGTCAAGCTGTGAATACAGCTAAACACGAAATTACTGGCTTTACACCTGCTTTTCTTGTATTTGGACGACATGTTCCAATTTCTGGAAAATTTTTTGAAAGTAACGACCCTACTGCGGACATGGAGATTACTCCTGGGGATCGTAATGCATATGCTGCTAACCTACAAGGCTTAACAGATGTTTTTACTGATGTTCGTGGAAAACTTCACAAGGCATATCAGAAAAACACTAAAACATACAATTTACGTAAAAGAGACGTAGAGTTTTTCGTAGGGGACAATGTTTGGCGTCGTAATAGAGCGAAGTCCAATAAAGGAGATCAATTTGCAGCGAAACTTGCCCCCAGATATATTTCTTCGGTAGTTCGAAAGAAATGCTCACGTTTGGTGTATGACTTGGAAGATCTGGATTCAGGTGCGAAAATCGGAAAATGGCACATTAAGGATTTGAAAGCCTATCATAGTTCCGATCCACCTGATGATCTTGATGAGGAAAACTCCAAAGACTCATCTGATTGAGATGATTTGTAAATATTAGAGTAATTTTAATCTTAGTATTTAGAATACATTAATAATATATAGTTGAGAATTTTTGCCCTCCCCGAGTTGACACTCACCCTATGCATAGGCGTAACTCTGACTGTATTGTACATATAAAATAATAATATAATTACTTCAATTTTTCCCTGAATCATGGTAAAATTATAATTATTTCCATTTTTTTTTCCGTGAACCATGGTAACTTAACCTTGTCCAAAATCTCGAGATTTGATTTAATACTGATTGTCCTAAATAATTTTTGTTTGACTTAATAGTAAAATTTCATACTTGTGTAAATGTAGTATTCACATTCTGTGACTTACATGTTCACAATTTGTAAATACATTTATTCAGATTATTTTTATTTGTTGTGGAAGACAATATACCGATTATGACATAATCCCAAATTAGGACTTACCGATTTTGTACCCATTTAGGGCGTTTGATACGCGTAGATATCAAGCCACAACACATGAAAATTCTTTTTTTTTCGCTTCATAATATAATTCAGATATGAAACGATTGAAGCTTCAATAGAAGGTCTGAAAATATTGTTTTTTAATTTTGTAATGAATGATAGTTCGCACAAGTGATGTTGACTGTCACTTAGTTTATAAAAAAGACTATCAAGATAGCCTTTTTTATTTTTGCGGAGGGGGGTGGTGTAACGTTTTCATTTGCTAATATAATTTGCCTATATCAAACGTTACCTTTTTCATGGTATTTTCTACTAAAACACTAGAGAAACTCTGTAGATATACACTGTCGAATTTATAAACCGTTATTGATAAATTCAGTTGACATAGTTCAGAATTTAACATCTAATATTAAAGCGCCCTGTATATCACTTCTCATCTTGTATCCAACAGAACGCTCACAGGTAGTAGACTGAAACAAAAAGGATTAATGAATTAGGCAGTACCTAATGTAATACCTATAACTAGAAAACAAACACAAACATATATTAATAAATTCTAGGTACTTGAATAAACCTTACCTTTCTCGCTTCTCGTTTGAATACACAGTGTTGTCTTCTTCGAATACACACTGTTTTCTATAGTCTACTTGATTTCAATGATGCAGGCACTGAAAATAAACAAGGTAACCATTAGAATGTCATTTATCAATATTATAAAGATCAGATATAGGTTTGATTAGAAAACTGCTTGCACCTACCTCTATTGTAAATAAATTGTACATAATGTAGAATCGAATGGGCCTGGGTATTTTTAAGTGATCCAATGATTTTCGTTTTGTTTTGAAATAAAATCATCCAATGTTCACGTCTTGGTTATGGTTTACCAATTCTTCGTTATTAGCCACTGTCACTCTTTTCTTGCTTTGATACATTCTTATTCTTCGTTCGCAATGACATCAATTTCCAATCAGCACGATACCTTTTGGGTCTATTGTCAAATATTGTTATTTTCGTGAGTATCTAGCTCGAGGCGGAGCATAGTCGTATGGTTCAAGGTCACATCACCAACAGCCTTAGTGTACAGGTGCAATTAGAAATACTGCTACGAGACATGTCATTCGTCGATAGTTTCGATCATTGGTTCCAATCCACTTTTGATGTTCCGTGATGTTGACGATTTTTGACAAGTTCAATGTCTGGGTCAAGTTCAATGTCAGGGTCAAGTTCCCTTTTCCGGAGAGGTCATTTTTGGGCCATTTTGCTGCTGGCTGTTCACGTGTTGGCTCGTCAGGCTCCTGGGAGATCCTGAAATTTTGCATAGGCACCTAGCCTTACCTAGGAAAAATTATGTTTCGGCGCGATGGATGGAAGTCTCCATTCGAGAATTTCTCGAAACACGTGCTTGAGGAAGGATTTTTTTGTAATGGACACCAATGCTGCTCAACCGGTCATCCTGGAAGTCACACATCCATCTGTAATTTTGATTTGGTAAAACCCTCTATACCCCAGAGGTGAGTTATTGCATTTTATTCACGACCAAAGTTAGCTCTCATTTTTTTTGAGACCAGGTTCTGATACCTACCTAATCAATTTTAGGGTTTTACGTATGGGCATATTCTTTACCATGTCCTGGGTTGAATCGTTTGATATGGCTGAGCAAGGGCCATCCGATTTCCTCATGTGGTAGGCTGACCACAGATCACCACACCTTTCAAGCAGTCTCCAATTTCCAAGGTTTTGCTGTCTACTAGCTTCAAAGATGTGCAGTATCATAGTCTAGCAGTTTTGCAGTCTCCTAGTCTACTATAGTCTACAAGTTATTTCTACCAGTCTACTGTCCCCTTCAGCTTTCTACCTGATGATGAACAAAACCATGACGTCATCATTGGATAATATCAGGTTTTTTTAGTTATAAGTTTCATTGAAGTCAGAATAATCAAGGTACAAAGATATACTCATAACTACAACTCAGATTTCAAAAGTGCACTTGAAATGTTCAAGCCCTATTTGAAACTTTCAATATCCTAAATACTAGCTTACAACAGGCAGTTTTACAGTATCACATTTCCCATAAAATTCATGAATTTTTAGGACAATTCCTTGAAGTTTACAAATATTCAATAACAACTAATGTTTAAAGTGGGTTTCTTTATAGAATTTGAACAAAACTGTCAATGAAGTAGTTTCATCAGTCTAATAGGGTACCAATATCAACTTGAAACATAATATGAGTATAATATATAAAATATCTACCTTCATATCTACCATTTGTAAATAATCTAGAATGACTTATTTTTCATTAAATTGTAAACACCTATTCCACAGATTTTTTACTTTCTACTGACATCTCTCTCAATCCATATATTACAGGTTTCTGTTTCTGCCTAGATGAACAACTATCTGAAAGAACCAGTGGCGTCCATTAAAATATAAACTTGACATTTTTTATATTAAATTGATAATTTTGGAACTTTTATGTAAATTCAACTTTGTGATCTATCAGGATAGCAAATTCAAAAATCCACGCCCATATGCCGCCGATGAAAAGCTGCCGGCGCAGTGTAATTGTATAATATATGTTACAGTGTTCAATTAAAAAAGTATAACTTTTGTGTTTTGCGGTTTTTGAGGACACCCACAGATGCTAATACAATAATCCGATAAGCAGATCAGAAAGGAACGAAAAAGAAATGTTGACAACATAAAAATGGACCTTGCAACAATTCTCGGATGGGGATCCGATAACTTGGTATAGATTTCAACGTAAACAAAACACAAGCATGCCTTTTCTCTAGAAAAGCCGATCTCACTGTGCCCAACCTAAGCTTGTCAGGAGTAAACATACCTTTGAAGACATCCATTTCGATCCTTGGTATTATTATCAGCAGCTATCAGCAATAACCTTTCTTGAGAATATCACGTGAGATCAATTGCTAAAAGTGCATCCCAAAAACTTGGTTTTCTGTTTCGGGTCAGAAGCTACTTCAGTTCCAGTCAGCTGCTAATGATCAATAAGGCACAGATCCGACCTGTCCTAGAATACTGTTCCCATATTTGGAGCGCAGCACCCAAACATACCCTGAAACTGTTGGATTCTGTCCAAAAAAGGGCAATTCGTCTCGTTGGTGACGCCTCGCTCACAAACTCACTCACTTCTCTGGAACACCGTAGAAAAGTTGGCGATCTGGCTCTATTATATAGATATTTTCATGGACGATGCTCTTCTGAAATATCAACAATTGTTCTTCCCTTGGCAGTCCCCGCGAGATTAACCCGTCGAGTTGAGGCTTCGCACCCCTTCATGGTCACTTTGGAGACCTGCTGAACATCTCTTTTCAAAGACTCGTTCATCCAACGAACAGCGATGCTCTGGAACACATTGTTAAGGGAGGTGTTCCCCGAGGCATATAACCTCCAGAAATTCAAGAAGAACACCAATTCCTACCTTATTTCCCTTGGTTCTCACGATATTATCTGAACATTACAGGATATCCCTTTTCGTGGACACCAGAACATAAAAAAAATTCCAATTTGTTTTGGTTTCCAGTTGAACTCCGATCTGATATTCGACGGCTCAGAACAATCAAACCACAACCACGGCCACCATCCCAGGATAGCCAGGGGTGGCTCAGCGCCTTATTCCCAAAGCCTTTCCGACCAGCCGGAAGAGGAGGAACATTGGCTGACCACCGCCGTGAACCGCCTGAAGAGGAGCATCGGCGGCATTTTCACCAGAAACGAGGTGCACCGCGTCAAAAACGTCCAGCATGCGAAGAAAGGTGGAGGAGATGTTGGAAGGACGCACAGGCAGACAGACGAAGACGATGAGGTGGGGCAAGAGGAGGGCCAGGAGGAAGGACAGGAAGAATATGTAAGTCAAAAGATGATGTACAGGGTGAGCAAAATTGGGCGTTTTCATAGGCTATCTCAGTAACTGAAGGAGTTATCAAAAAAACGATATACATGTTACGGGTTCGATTTTAGAGAAACCTCGAATGGTACAATTTCAGGGAAGTGAAAGTGTGAGGAAAATTTGAGATACTTAATTTTTGTTTTTGTTTGTGACCTTTGAAAATTCCCTCTCACAGTTCACAAAAACGATATACAGGATGAATTTTCCGCTATAAACTGAACTATCAACATTTTTCAAGGCAAAATTATTTTATGACATTTTTTTTATTTTTCATTTTTTTTTAACAGAGAATATAGGTTTTCTAAACAGGGGCCCTGTGCCATAATAAGCAAATCATTTTCGGAGTCTTCCGGCCTCCTCTTGTGGCGATTTCATTCGCTCATTAGGGCACAGGGCTCCTGATGTTTAGAAAACCTGAAGAATTGTTGTTTCTACGTGTTCGTATAGAACAGAAATAGATAAAATATTTAGAAATATACAAATAGGCGAAGTTGAATGAAGTTCAGTGAACAACTTCAATAAAATACAATAATTCCTACAATCATTTGGATAAAAACTGTGAACTGGGAACAAAATTTTCATTCTGCTTCAAATAAAAGCACCAACGCAACAAAATCGGAAATGTATAATCTCGAAAATTATTCTACATATACAGGACGAGGACGATGGCGATAATGATGAAGATCAAAACGGCGAATCTGAGTATGCCAATCCAGATGATTACGTAAGTTGCGTGCAACAAATGTGGTAGACTAATGATATTATTTTGTGTATGGTTCATCATTTTGCACGTATCTCATTAATGAAATCTCAGACGAACAAGATTGAATCTCCATGGGAGTATGGATCAAATAAATATAAATAATAAGAAACGAGCTACAAATCAAAATTCGGCTTCTTCATTGCCAGTGGCGTACCTACCGGAGAGGCAGAGGCGGCATGGTTTTGCTATTAACTAAATGGCTCGTTTAAAATAATCTTAATGAATATGTACTTATCTAGTTATATGTATAGTTTAACCAAAAACAATTGCACAGTTTCGTGCCTGCAGTCACTTCAAAGATAAACACGCAATATACTTCTGCAATACAAGCTTATACTGCTGATAGATTGTCAGCATGTCAGACCAGTCCTGCCGTTTGGTTGCATGAATCCAATCTTCTTGCATTATTTGAGATATTTCACGAGTATTTCTATTAGCTCCTATTGCTCATAATGTACCAATAGGATTCCTTCGTCTTCCGCTGCAGTTTTTGTACATTGTACAACAGCACAATGTGATCGTATGAGCGAATTAATGAATAGCCGAAAAATACAATTCGTATGTCAAAATAATTGTGAAAAACTATTTCGATCACTTGTAAACAAATAAGCAAAGTGAGGTTGTGTTTCCATGTTGTGCCTCCAGGGTCGGTCATCTGACAGTTCTTGCACGCAACCCATAGCTCTTTTCTATTTGACTGCTGTGTGGGTAGCACTAGAGCTACTCCAGAGCATGAAAAATAGGCAAGAACACGTTCTTTTCGCTAGTTATAGAAGCATCTCTCTTCCCCTATCCCTCTGTCACTTTCATATGACAAGCTATGTTTGCTTATTTTCAACAAAGATTATTTTCTATTTTCATGTTTCAGAATAGTTCAATAATATGCTCGTCTTCAGAATCAGACATTATCAACATATATTGGCTATATTTGAATATTTCCAAAAGGTAAACTATAAGAGTGCATCCGCAGGGGCGTACATTGTAATAGTTCACTAAAATACGTTCTATTTGGGAGTAGCTCGAGTGTAACAAACACTGAGCTGCTCAGTTGAATGAAACATCAAAAAGAAAGTGGCTAATGACACATTTTGTCTTCGTTATCGGTGTCGGAAAAAACTATATTTTTCTTCTTATTAATCTGATCATTGCCGAAGGAAATGTTACTGTTCATTAATGTTTGATTCTCTACACATACAATATGTTAGCCTTCAGAATCTTTCAGTTTCAAATCTTAAACCCGAAAAAAATTTCAACTGCGACCCATTCACCTACTTTGCCTGAAATCTTGCCGCCGAGCCGAAATATTGTAGTTACGCCACTGCTTAGCTCCATTATTTCCTGCTATATTGTTAAGGTTGTGGACCATGTTTATGAACTCATAGATGTAGATATAATATGAGGTCAAAATTTTGTATCGAAACTGTTGAATCGTCAAATTTATTTTTCAAATTTATTTTGACAATAGATGGATATAATAAAGACGCTTTGTTTTAAGCAACTAGCACACCCAACTCCTCACCTATTTTATGTATATTACTCGGAATATTATGAGCCAGCCGAAAATATTTTTTTCGTCGACCTCTACAAAATATCACATTTTTCGTCCACAGATACTAACTTTTCCTCCGCAAACACTTATTCTTTCGCTGCAGGTTTGCCAGTTCTACTGAATTTTCAGGAGATCTCCTGATTTGCATATTGATCAACTGATCTTCTGAAACCTTTCATAATCGACTGAAGAATATTTTGACATTTATTAGTATTATAATGACCTATATCATTATTAATCTTCAGTTAATCGCATACACTTATAAATTGCATTATATTTCGATACGCTCTGTTTAATCTAATTCTACAAACTACGTTTCAAATAATGTACCTATAGGTACTAATGATATATAAACAAAAAAAGACAATACTTTATCTGATTCAGATCAAATTAAATTTTGTATATGCCTCTGTTATAACAGTTTGTTTCTTTTCAATTATTTTGTATTTTTGTTGTTCATTTTCACTATTTGTTCCTGTTTTTTATATACTCAAATCTTATATGTAACTTTTTTTGTTATACAAGGTGTCTGTAAAAGGTCTTTACAAAAACATACCACATATTCCTCAGACCAAAATGAGTCGATTTAAGTTGAATTACCTCAGTACAAAGTTGCATCGTTTGGACTCCAGAGGGCCTTGAAGTTACAATTTTCAAATCGTTTTTCTCATATAAATTCAAAACGGCATATGCGATTCCGCTGAAATTCGGTATATTGATAGAGTTTTATGTGGCAAAAAAAATGGTGTTGAAATTTTGTCCGATAATAATACATAGGCGAAGAACTGGATTTTTTTAATAATTGCAACTTTAAAATTTCTACGCCAATGGAAGAAAAGGAGTTTGGGTATAAAATTTAGATTACGCAACTCATTCACTTCAAAAAAGGTTCTCTTGGTAAGACTAGATTGCTCTCATGGTTTTGACGAAATATGCATTTTAGTAATTTTAGAACATAAACAATAATTATTGAAATACAAACTTTGTCAAAATCATGAGAGTAAATCGAGTGTTATCAAGGGTACTTTTTTGTAGTAAATGAGTACCCAAGACCAATCAAACCCCTGTTCTGCCATTGGCGTAGAATTTTTAAAGGTGCAATTATTTAAAATATCAAGTTCTACGCCTATAGCAGAAAAGGGGTTTGAGTATGAAATTTGGATTGGGTACTCATTTACTACAAAAAAGTACCCTTGATAACACTCGATTTACTCTCATGGTTTGGATAAAGTTTGTATTTTAATTATTACTGTTTATTTTCTAAAATTACTAAAATGCAAATTTCGTCAAAACGATGAGAGCAATCGAGTCTTATGAAGAGAACCTTTTTTAAAGTAAATGAGTTGCGCAATCTAAATTGTGAGTATGTTTGAATTGGGTATTAGGCATGTGATTATTTTTGTATGAGAATGTTTGTTTTGTTTGTTTCTATTTTGTTTGAAATATGTTACTTTTCTGTGTTTTCTAAAAGTACATAATGTTTTGACGTCATAGGTTCATTCAATTATCGTTTCTTGGAATTCTTAAAGAATAGAATAGATCTTTAACAGATCTATTGAAATCACTGAATGTTGGACAAGATATTTACTGATGAAATAAAAATCGAACTGGCAACCCTGTTCCGCGCGGAGAGTGAGTTGACAACATATTATGTCATTTGCTGTTGTCCAATCAAGTATTATTCACGAAATCCGATAAATTCCACTTGTGAATAGGACAGTGATGTGGATATAAGTGTTTGAGGCCAACGAAAAAATGTTATATGCACCTCAGCGAGAGACTGTCTAGTGTCTCGCCTGATTGCTAGCCTCGGCTGTGATGGTAAAGTATGTTGTTAGTTTTTGAAAGTGCTAAAGAAATATGCAGAATGCTAATATCTTCATTTGACCTCGATAATAATTATAATCTCCTCTGAAGCTGCATCCAAAGTCAAGTAATCCGATTACTATGATCATATAACAATAATACAACATTGTTCTCAATTCATGATTAAAAAATTAATGGGCTCAAATAAGCTATGGAGAGAGTTCGAATTAGGTCACACATCCAAATGTTGCAACTGTTCCAGATTCAACAAATGTTTAGTAGTGACCCGTTTCTTATATTTTGACTGCTTCATTAATAATTTTGATTCTCACAAACCATGAGATGTGTTTTATTCGTCTATGAGATATACATCATATAATAGTTTTAGAACATTGGGAAGAATCATTCGATCTACACAGGGTGCTTCCGAAGTTCAGGCGATTAATAAAGGGGATGATAGGAAATAAGAAATACAAAAAATTAAAGAATTGAATCTTGTCAAAAATATCATTTCAGCAGATATTGATCTTTGCAGTTTGTCTGATACTTGTAAATCATCGATCAAATGTTGAAAGCCTATAACCGAAGCGTTCGCTTTTGGCAATGATAGTTTTTAAAGATGATTGATGATCCGAGCGGTGTGATTCATCGTGTCATATAATATCTCATTCAACACCTATCAATTTTATATATCGTTCCAAATTCGGAAACACTGTATTTTCTAGTATATCTCTCCAATAATAGTACCAATAAAAAATTCAGATCTATGTTATTGACAGCATGCAAGATGCAGAATGAGTGCATGATTTTCGCTCCCTTCCAAAGAATAATAAATTATAA